TCTTGGTTATTTTGAAGGAGAATTAAAGAGAATAACATGAGAAGAATCTGAGACTTTTATTATTATATGTTTATGTATTTAATGACACAGGGACAGTGCACAGATGTTTGTACCAGTTTGTACCAGTGCTCATTTCCACCTGTGGTCACTGGGCAGGTTCATTGATTGGTTGTATTTAACTGACCTTATCCTTCAGCTGTCAGCTCTTCTGGAGACCTGTGCAGCATGTTTTGGGTTGACCCAGTGATCTGTGAGACATAACTGAGACAGCGCTTCCAAGTCATGATCAAACTGAGACATATTTGAAAACAGCACAATATATCTCACTTTTCTCTTCACTGAGATCGAGAACAGAGACGCTGTGAGAGAATTTAGACAACTCCTACAGTGCTCACCCTGAGACTTATTTCTCAGGAGAGACATTTGAGAAGAATAAGAAAACCACTTTGGTCTCGATTTGTGCTCATTTATATCTAGGGGATGAAAATGTGACATAAATGAGATCTCATCTTCAGTTTTGCTTTGCTATGGGTATCATCTAGATCAAGGGTCTTCAATTTTTTTGCTCCTGTGAGCTACTTTTTATTAAACAAAAATACTAGTTTTAGCGGTTGCCAGAAATGTTGTAAATATAAGAGCCATGATAAGCTGAAAATGAGGTACAGTTAGATGTCTATAAAACATAACCCACAAAATTAGACAGCAAAATTATACATTTACAAAGGAAATAGGCATTTAATTAATTACTGGAAGTTACTGGAAGGGAGTGGAGAGCTGCTGGTATCTCCCGAGCTACAGGTTGAAGACCCCAGATCTAGATATATTCTAAGCACTTTTTATATTAAGCTAAAAACATGTTTTTCAGTGCAATTAACACAACCAAATGAAAACAAAACAAAAACAAAAACTGTCTGTTTGCCCGACGAAGACCTAGTGCCGAAACGTTGCACGGTTTGTCCTAATAAATCTCACAATTTGCAAGGAAGACAGTGTGTGGGATTTTTCTCCATGTTCTTGGGCTGCTCCCTCTCCTCCAACGCACCATCTCTAGTAATTAATGTGTGAAATTCTCATTCTTTTATATAGTAGATTTTTGGGTGCAAAAAAAGTTAAATAATGTGGCTTTAAATAATCATAAATAATTAAAATAATCATTAATTATCGTGTCAATAATTGCAGGTACATTAACCATGAACCTGGTCAAATTTGCATTCAATTAAAGATACATAAGCGTTAAATTCTAGGTGTTTTTATTGCTCGATATCCTGTACATTGGAAAACATGCATTTTCACAGTAAGTGGGGTCACCTCTCCACAGATCTGACTTATAATTTGACCTGTAGTTGAAATGTGCTTGGAGGATGTGTTTAACATATGCAATGCTCCAAATCCCGTAGGTCGAAGGACAATAACGTCTTTCCCCTTCACCAAACATTCTCTTTGTTCCGGCTTTAAATCCTCGATCTCGGGAATCGTTGCCAACACAGAATGTCTGTCTTCGTCTACATCAGGCATGTCCAAACTACGGCCCATGGGCTAAATGCGGCCCTCAGACACATTTTTCTCGGCCCTCAGGCTTCCAGGTGAATTGGTCCAAATTACTTTGCATCAAATAAAAATGAACTTCTTACTGCAAGTTTTTTTTTATTATTTTTTTATTTACCTTGATAAAGCGAATCGAAATATTGAGCCCCAGTCTACGGCCCTCGATCGGCCCTCTGCTTCGACTGTGTTTAAATATGTGGCTCTTGATTAAAAAAAGTTTGGACACCCCTGATCTACGTCCATCTCGACGCTTTGTTTACTGTTGTGCTGTTCCACAAAAGGGACGCAGACAGACGCCACGAGTTTGACGTCATGACTTCACAGCTCTTCTCTGATTGGTCGGTGCGCTCTACAAATCTTGCAAACCGTCTAGTGCAGGGGTGTCCAAACTTTTTTCATCAAGGGCCACATATCTAAACACAGACGAAGCAGGGGGCCGATCGAGGGCCGTAGACTGACGCTCAGTACAGGGAATAATCCAAATTTGTGCATGTTTAACACAAACATCAGACTTTATTCATAATAAGATCCTTAAAACCACAAACTAAATATTAAATATTGGCTTTATCAAGGTAGATTTAAAAAAAACTTGCAATAAAAAGTTTATTTTTCATTGATGCAAGGTCATTTGAGCCAATTCACCTGGAAGTGAGAGGGCCAAGAAAAATTTGTCTGAGGGTCGCATTTGGCCCACGGGCCGTAGTTTGGACATGCCTGGTCTAGTGTATTCTGATTTCTGACCTAGTCGCTGGAGAGAAATGAAACTGAGCGGAGGCAGTAAGTTGCCAAGCGTTTAATATCAAACTGTGAAAAGTTTTATTACACAAAATGGACACTTGTGAGTTTTAAATCATGTTATAATGCTGCTACCTCCTCAAAAACAGACCTGGAGTTGTGTTTTGTTTCATTCACACTCCATTTATTATTCATCTGTCTCCATCTCCAAAGCTCCAAAATGCTCTGCTCCACTTTGTGATGTCTTAAAGTGGTAGTTTTCAAGTGAACAGCTACGTTTTAATTTTAGTTCAGTAAGGCAAGGCAAGTTTATTTGTATAGCACAATTCGTACACAAAGTAATTCAAAGTGCTTTACAGAATAAGAAATACATTAAAATAATAAAAACAAATCAAAACATAAATAATCATGAAGATTAAAATTAAAAAAGAGAGACATAAATTGGAGAGAAGAGTGCGGAATGAAAACCTTTCAGTTATTTGCACAGTTAAACAGAAATGTTTTGAGTCTGGATTTAAACAGCGTCACAGAAGAGTCTGTCTCACATGTTCAGACTGTTCCAGGTTTTAGCTGCATGAACCTGAAACTCTGACTCCCTTGTTTAGTCGTGACTCTGGCACCAGCAGGAGTTGGTCCCTGAGCTCCTCAGAGTGTGAATGTTCATATGACACTAACATGTCACAGATGGACTTTGGTGCTCGGCCATGAGACACTTGTAAACAGAGCTGCTTTAAAGTCTCTGAGCCACAGGAGCCAGTGCAGAGACCTGAGACCAGGACTTATGTGCTTTGTACTTCCTAGTTCGAGTCAGGACCCGAGCTGCAGCGTTCTGGATGTTGTGGATGTTCTGGATGTTCTGGATGTTCTGCAGCGTCTCACAGCTCTCAGTGAGCAGAACATCACAGTATCTAACCTACTGAGACAAACGTATGATAAGTTTCTCCAAGTCTGATTTAGACAGTAAACCTTTGATTTTTGCTATGTTTTTAGATAAAAGGTCAGATGTTATTGATTTTATGTGACTGTTAAAGTTCAAGTGAGTCCATTATTACCCTGAGATTTCTTCTGATTTGAAGTTTTAGAGCGAGAGACTGGAGTGACTGCTGAACTGTCCCTTTGTTTCTGTGGACCAAACACTATGACTTCAGTCTTGTCAGAGTTTAGCAGTTTAGAGTTTAGCAGTAGAGATCAGCAATTCCAGGGCTGAAATGATCCAAATGATTCTAGTGAGGGTGTGTGGAGTTTAAAAAACACAGTGGAGCACTTCCTGTATTACCACATGATGACCTCACAAGGTGGAACAGTGTGTTTTGTGTGTGAGAGAAGAGGGTCTGTGTGTTAAACGTGTGTGAATGAAACAAAAACACAACTCCAGGTCTGTTTGTGACGAGGAAACGTTACACCGTGAATAAAAAAAATGGTGTAATACTGTTTTGTGGAAAGTTCCAACAAAAGCATTTCAACATTTCCAGTTAAGCAGGTGCCGGAAAAGTGACGTGGAGATGCTTTAAAGAGCAGACACTTGGCACAATGCATGTCTTTGTTTCCTGTGTGTTTGTAGAGCAGATGGATTGATAAGTGCCTTTCCACTTCCCTCTTTTTGGTTCTATCTTTAACACGGAGAAGTGCTGTGGTCGAGCCGCTGTCCGCAGGTGTCACAGCCACTCCACAGCTAAAAAATAATGTTTGAATATAGTTCTGTACTAGTACCAGGGAGAGATCGCTAGATTACTCAAACATGCATGGATGACATAAAAAAAGCACTTCAAACACGCTTTTCACTCTCCTCTTTAAGCTGTTTTAACGACTCCAACTCGTGGGGTTTAATTAAAACGAAGTGGGAGTGGCGGCATTTCCATTTTTTATCAAACGTTCCTGTACTTGAACTTTTTTTCTTTCCTGATTTTTTCAACATTCCGCCATTCCGACACACAAGGGAATTGTTAAGTTCCGGCAGCGCTCTTTTTGGGACGATATTTTCACGGACTGGCGGTGTAGGAGTGTGGTTTAGTCCTGGTTAAAACCTGGTTTTAGTCCTGATTTTAGTCCTGATTTAGTCCTTGGTTTTTGATTTTGTGGCACGTGATTGTGTGTATAGTTCTGTACCAGTACCAGGGAAAGATCACTAGATTACTCAAACATCCACATCCAAATCCACTTTATTTCTACAGCACATTTTACAAACAAAGCAGTTTCCAAAGTGCTGCACAGAGATCAGAAAACGAAGGCAACAAAACTGAAATTATATTGCCAAAATTTGGTAACACCAGGCCTAAAACCAGTAAAATCAAATTAAAACAAAACCGTAAAATCATAAAATAGCAGTAAATAAGTCAAGTTAATTTAATTAAAATAAAATAAACAACATGGATGACATATAAAACCACTTCAAATGTGATTTTCACTCTCCTCTTTAAGCTGTTTTAGTTCTGATATTTCCAATCTGTACTCAACAAAAACGTAAAAAACAACTATTAACTTGAAAAAAAAAAAAAAAAAACACTTCATGACATCACAAGGTGGATCAGAGCATTTTGAGCTTTGGCGATGTAGAAAACACGTGTGAACGAAACAAAACACAACTCCAGGTCTGTTTTTGGAGATGTAACAACATTATAACAGCTTAAAGTTTTGTGTAATTTAAGACTTTTAATACTAAATAGCAGAAAAAAATCTTGATATTTCTCGTTTTACGCTGTGTCTCGTTTGTGTTTTTGCAGATGGTACTTCGGGACGTTGAACCGTTTCGAGGCTCACGGGCACCTCATGAACGAGGAGAATGAGAACGGCTGTTTCCTCATCAGAAAGAGCGACCGGGAGTCTGTGGGATACGTTCTCTCAGGTAACAGCGCGGGAAATAAACACCGGGACTTTTCACGTGTACTTGCTCACACAGGTCTACTTCACTTTAGACTTGACAACTTACAGCTAATTATTCACCACAGTGAGTCTATAAGCACTTTTCAAAGCTCACGAGGCAAGTTTATTTGTACCTGGGTCCAGTCAAGCAGTAACGGAGGGAAACGGGCAGATTTTTGACATTCAAATGTCTCTTATTCAGAAACTAGAGGAACTATTGAAATAAGTAAAGTATCAGAATGTAGGAAAGAGTTACACTCCAACAGGGTCAAGTTAAACCTGTGATATTCTTTCAAGTTGTTGACAAAAAATTTTAAAAACTCAAGTCGGCAACGGAGGGAATGAAATATGCAGCACTTTTTGGGCAATAAATCCAAACAGTGATAACTCTTGGTTCTCACTTACATATCCTTAACAAACTGGTTTGAATATTTGCTTCATATAGTTTTCTACCATATGGTACAAGATTAGGTTGAAAAACCTCTTACTTTTTGACTCATGAGATTTTTTATTAAGAAAGGTCATGGTAACGGAGGGAAAAGTAACGGAGGGAAAATTGTGCAAACAAGTAGAAGGTGCAGGATTTTACATCATTTGTCGCTTTTTTCTTCTGAAAACTTTAATATTACTTCAAAATGAAAGGAAACTATTTCTATAAAATATGTCAGTCCTTCCAAGCAAATTTTTATCATTTAAAATTTTTTTTTTTTTTAAAATCATGTACCTTCATCAACAGTTCAAAGATCAAATAACACAAGATATGATGAAATACATCCATTTATTTACATGATTTTTGGGTCTTTGAAATTTGGGAAATAATTTTTGTTCCATGTTTCATACATGGTCTGTTTAAAACGGATGGAACTTTAGAACCAAAAATGGTACAGAAAAAAGGTCAACAGTTTCATAAACTAGAGTACATATGTATCTGTTCAATACATTTTTATATCAGATGCATTAACTTTTTAACTTTTTTTTTTGGCCTTGCTTCTGCTTGACCGGGGCCCAACTCCTAAAAATTTGGTTTCATTTACTCTTTGAATCTGTATCCCATCTGTTTCTAATGTTATGTTGTCTTTTTTCTTTTTATCATTAAATAAAATGAAATTTGTTTTTTTAACATTCAGAATCAATCCATTTAAATCAAACCAATATTTTACTTTTCTTAGCTCTTTGTTAACTTTACTTGTGACGTAGTGCAGGGAGCAAAGGGAGGGGAGACTCGGAGCATCAAAACCGAAAGTGAAACCTATAAAACATGTTAATACGTCGTTTTTAGGTGAATATATCATTTTGAAAACTAAAAATAAAAGGGAACGTGGAGATCTAAATGTAAACGAGTTAATGCCCGGCAGAAGTAAAATATCTTCTCATTAAACCGTCCGACTCGAGAAAGAGAAACTGTCAGATTGTCGTGCGTCCTGTGAGAGAGAAAATGACAGATAATTGACGATAAAAAAAGGGAAGAGAAAAGAGGAAGAAGGCGTCACAGCTGTGAAAGGCTGTGTACACATGAACATCCGCTCACATGGACTCGTTTGTAATGTGAGAAACTGATTCGATAAACAAAACGGGGATTATTTTATGTCACACGTTGATTGTTCTTAAAAATGGGCTGTTGTGGAACTCGTTAATTCAATAGAAAACGTTGCGTGAGGCGTCTGTATGCGTGTCATTCGTTCATTAGTTTTTCCAAAAATAAGAACATGAAAAAACTTTTTTTTTTTTTAGTTTAGTCCTGGTTCAGTGTTTTAGTCCTGGTTTAGTTCGATTTAGTCCTGGTTCAGTCCTGGTTCAGTCCTGTTTTACACCTGGTTTTAGTCCTAGTTTTAGTGCTTATTTTAGACCTGGTTTAGACCTGGTTTAGATATGATTCAGTGTTTTAGTCCTGGTTTAGTCTTGGTTCAGTCCTGGTTCAGTCCTAGTTTAGACCTGGTTTAGTTCTGGTTCAGTCCTGTTTTAGTCCTGGTTCAGTCCTGGTTTAGTCCTGGTTTACTTTTAGTTCTGGTTCAGTCCTGGTTTAGTCCTGGTTCAGTCCTGGTTCAGTCCTGGTTTAGTCTTGGTTCAGTCCTGGTTTAGTCCTAGTTTAGACCTGGTTTAGTCCTGGTTCAGTGTTTTAGTCCTGGTTTAGTTCTGATTTAATCCTGGTTCAGTCCTGTTTTAGTCCTGTTTTAGTCTTGGTTCAGTCCTGGTTTAGTCCTGGTTTAGTCCTGGTTCAGTTCAGCATCACAGATTTTTTTTTTTTCCATTATTCTTTTAAATTTTTTTCAGTTTTTGATTTTGTGTTTATCTTTTTCTGTTTTTTGTGTGTTTTTTTTTTTCATTTTGATTTCGGATCCAAATAATGAAGAAAACTATTGTTTTTTCTTTTTCTTATTTTTGGTTTTATATTGAAAAATTAATGAACGAATGACACACAGATGTGCGCAGTGAACCGGGTGTACACTGCGATTTTTGGTCCTTTTTCAGTCAATTTTTCACTCGTTTTGCGAGATTAATTGCGAGCAGACCTTGTCACTCGTCAGGTGAAAACAAATTCCGACGTTTAGTTGAATCCCAACAGTGACGTATGAACAAACTCGCGTTCAAGTCCTTGATTTACAAATGTGTTGCGTTCAGTTCAAAGTTCACTGAAACATAAACGTGTTCTCGGGAGCTTCCAGTAGCTCTCCACCCCCTTCCAAGAAGCTCGCCAAGGAGTTTCTGAATTATATGTTTTGTGCTGAATAACAAAAATTGGATTGAATAAAAAGTTATTACCGTTGTAAATGTGTCATTTTGATGCCAAACGTTGTGCAAGTTGTAAACGTATAAACATCAAACTGTGCTCCGTTTGACGTCGTGGATCTTTAAATTCAGTTTCTTGTGACTTCAAAATGCCGAGCTCTTTGGCGTTTTTATTTTGTAAAAGCAGCTCACCGGAGGAAAAATTTTGGAGACTCCTGGTGCGTATGTGAAGCACTGAGTGCGTACACATGCACATCAGTATCTCGGTTATTCGCCATATCCCGGTTGTGTCAGTATTCGTGTTACTGCGTTTACATGCGCACTGAGAAACCGGGACACTCATATCTGCGTGTACATGATCAAATGGAGTATCCCGGTTTCTTGACATAATCTTACAAATGCGCAAACGCAAAAATGAACTTAAATCAATTTCATAAACCAGGAAAAATACAAACTGTGAGCTCCTTTAGCATAAGAAGCTAAGGAGCTACGAGATCTCCCACAATCCACTGCACACATCAAACCAACAGATTCTTCATTAAAATCTTCTGCATAAATAAACTCAACTTTACAACATATAAACCAGAACCCACTGTAGATCCACATCAGCCCGTTTGATCAGATCATTCAGCTCTGATCACATTTGTTTATGTTTTACAGAAACGAAACTTAAGACCGCATCGCTAATTAGCATAAACTGTTAGCGGTGATAAAAACAGCTCACTCCTTGTGGTTCAGCTTCTTTTGGACTAAAAGACACGACTCTGTGGATTATGTGTGTTCTTTTTGTTAGAGAAGAGGTGCTGATGATGGTAAGTGTGTTCTGTGTGTGTGTTGTACAGGAGATAGTTCATGTTTTAGTTTTTCAGCGTCACACGAGTGCAGGTCGTACGAGTGCAGATTGTACGTGTGCAGGTTTAGCGCAGCTCTTAATTTTACAGTCATTTCACTCGTTTGGTCACTTTATTTATGTTGGTCAATTTATTTATGTCATTACTGTTGTGTTGAGAGGCTGGAAAGTGTCTTTTGGACGCATGCGCACTCAACTTTATGTTGCAGTAACCGGGATACTGCGTTTACATGCCACATCCCGGTTACTATCGGAATAAACCAGCTACAGTAACCCGGTTTCTAATAACCGGGTTACTGCCATAACCGGGTTACTGCGTTTACATGCACCATCAAGACCCGGGATACTCAAAAAACCCGATCATAACCGGGTTATTGATGTGCATGAATACACACTCAATGATGTATGGACAAACTCGCGTTCAAGTCCTTGATTTACAAATGTGTTGCGTTCAGTTCAAAGTTCACTGAAAAATGATCGTGTTCTCGGGAGCTTCCAGTAGCTCTCCACCCCCTTCCAAGTAGCTCGCCAAGGAGTTTCTGAATTATATGTTTTGTGCTGAATAACAAACATTGAATTGAATAAAAAGTTATTACCGTTGTAAATGTGTCATTTTGATGCCAAACGTTGTGCAAGTTGTAAACGTATAAACATCAAACTGTGCTTCGTTTGACGTCGTGGATCTTAAATTTATTCAGTTTCTTGTGACTTCTAAGATGACGAGCTTTTTGGCGTTTTCATTTTGTAAAAGCAGCTCAATGGAGGAAAAAGTTTGGAGACTCCTGGTGCATATGTGAAGTAATGAAGAGGTGTCAGACCGTGCACCAGAAAAGTTCCGCAGTGCTCCTTTAAACTCTCATGTGGTCATTGAGATCTGACAGTAACTTGTGATAAAAAGCACTCACACACTCACACCCCCTCACACTCTTTGGGACTTTGGACCAGTTTAATCACACTCAAATTTACCGTCAGTCGTAAACCAGACTTTCCAGGACTCTATCGTGATTGTCCCTCATCGACCGCTGTTTTTATTGGTGCTGCATTTCAAATAAAGCAATTCTAGCGTTCACAAATCACAGGCAGAAGTTTGGATGCGTCTTCTCATTCAGAGTTTCCGTTCCGTAAAAAAATAAATCAGAAAGTGTGTCCAAATGTTGGTCTGGTTGTGTAGCTTCAAACACTTTCCCCGGATCATAAAGTCTGTTTTACTTTTCTCTTTGCAGTTTGTTTTTACGATGGTCACTTTCACTTGTGAATTATGAAGGTGCATTGTGCAACTTTTGTTAGAGAAGGGTTGTCAAACTCAAATTCACAGAAAAAAATTAAAAACTGGATCTAAGGCTACGTCCACGCAACAACGCTCCCTGATTTTTTCTTTTACAGGCTGAAAAAAAAAAATCGCATCCACACGAGTCAAATCAATAAATGTTCACATCCAGACGACAACGCAGCGCCGAGTGAAAATGATGTGATATAATAATGCATATTTCATCATTGTTTTTTTAAACTTTAAGGTAATTTAGCCTATTTTAGCTGAATGTTGGGCGGCGGGGGCGAGTCCGTGGGCTACACCTGTTCCATTTCGGGATCGCTCTTGTGGTCCGCTGAGGCCAGGACACTCACGATGACGGGGTCGTGACGTCATCGTTTTCCAAAAACTGTGTTTTTTTTGTCCACACGACAACACAATCCAGCGTTCTCAGATTTCTTCACTCTGGAATCTGTTCTCACAAAACACCGTTTTCGCTCACATGAAACGCCGGCTCCATGTGAAGTTTTGACCAAAAAACGTTGTTGTGTGGACAGGCCCTAAGTCGTGGGCCAAACTAAATATTTATTGAATTTCTCTCATGTACGTACAAAACGCAAGTTTCGAGGGAGACTGGCCGAACATAAATATGCCATCAGGACCAACAACGTACTTTACCCAATGGCAAAACACTACAAAGCTGCTGGTCATAGCTGGTCCCAACTCTCTCAGGGGTGTGGTCATAGAGGTAATCTCTGACGATCCACAGGGAGGAGACCGACTGAAACGACTTTTTCAACGAGAGACGTTCTGGATCCACACGTTGAGGGCCACGGTTCACCCTGGGCTGAATAAAGAGGTGGATTTTTCACTCTTCTTACGACTGTAGCTCCCCCTCCTGTCTATTTGAACTATTTGAACTATTTGAATTGTGTCCATATTATTGGGACCCATTAAGCCTCGTCATGTAGCTCTTATTTGCTGTCCTAACATGCCAATGACTTGATTATACTGTTGCCAATTGTCAAAAGGGGTCTGTTTTTGTTTTTTTCTAGGTATTTTTGAGCTATAAAACCACCTGTAATTGAATAAATGTTAAGTGGAGTTGTTTAATGTATCACTGCGGAACATTCCAAGGCAGAATAACATATCCATAGAAACAAGCAGGTGACGGACCCCCAACCAAAATGTTACACAGTGCACCTTTAACTCCAAAGCAAAATGTCAACAGTTGTTTTAAAAAGCCTAAAGAAAACCTCAGAGCGATCGATTTCAGCTGCTACATTTGAGGACTTTTCTCCCCCATTCAGAATATTTATTTTATTTTCAATTTTTTTTCACTTTGGCAATGGTTTTCCTTTTCCATTATGAAATTTCCAATGATTAACTGATCTAACTCCAAATATTAAAGTTGTTCCTTTTTAGATCTGATATCAGTATTTGGTACTGGTCACGGTCCATTGGTCCACGGTCTTTTTCATGTTTTTAAGATGGTAAAAATTTGGTACAGTGATTTTAAAATACTAAATATTGTTTGAAATATTGTAAAGACAAAAAAAAAAAAAAAAAAAACAATGTACAGAGCAATGGGTTTCATCTGCTACATTTGAGGACTTTCCCCCTCATTCAGAATATTTATTTAGTTTTAAATAGTTTTTCAGTATGGAAATAGTCCTTAATTTTCATCTCTCTGGAATTTCCGGAATTAACTGATTAACTGATCTCACGTTAATTATTAAAGTTCCTCATGTTTAGATCTGATGTCAGTATTTGATAACTGTCACGGTCCATTGGTCCACGGTCTTTTTCATGTTTTTAAGACAGTAAAAATTAGGTATAGTGATTTTTAAAATACAAAATATTGTTTGAAATATTGGAAAAACAACAAAAAATCTATCTACAGAGGTGGGTACAATATATAACTCAAGTAAGTCTACGTTCAGTCTGCAGCCTGAAGTGACTCAAATCTGATTTTTTCACCCCTATGCTCCTGTATCTGATCTTTTAATGACAGTCTGAACCACACAGATCAGATTTTTTTCAAACGCGACCCATGAAAATAAATTTTTGGGTCCGATTGACCCGCCCCAAGACAGCGGGAAGGAAAAAAAAAAGTTTCTTCGGGTGTATGTGACCCCGAGGAGAGCGTGAGGGTTAAAAACACAGTGGAGCACTTCCTGAACTCACATTTTCGAGACAGTAGAAGCCAGGTATGTTTACGGCTCTTTTAACACTTCTCTTTTGTGTTTCTGCAGTCAGATCGAGCACACGGGTGAAGCATTTTCGGGTGATGAAGAACAGCAGCGATCAGTTCCACATTGAGACGTCTCCACAGTTCCCCACCCTCATCGACCTGGTGGAACACTACAGCAAGTGCAGCCTGAGCACCGCCGGGACACTGGGCAAACCGTGCAGACGGGTACGACTATTTACAGTAGTGATGTGCTGTCAGTTCTAGGGATTGGTCGACTCAAAACTGTAAGCTCTATTCAGGCTTACGTCACAAACCAGGAAGATGTTTGGGCTGACTGCACGGTTTAATGCGTCTATTGACAAAGTTGATCTTTTCTAGTCTTTTGAACCATATCACTTTTGTTTCTGGTTCTGATATTATCATATTTTAGTTTTGGGATTCAGACATCGTAATTGTGTGGTTGTTGGATCCTAACAGCGGAAAACGGATCGAGAATTTTGTTTGCGAACTCCATAAATGCAAAAGGGAATCAGTTGTGTGTGACTCAAACCTCCGTTCAAACTGTTTCTCTTCCCAACGGAATTGAAAAATAGTGAAAGGTGAAGGTGATGGGCAGGACTGATCCACGGGAAGAACCAAAAAGGTAATCATCCCGAGTTTGCAGAAAACATTTTGTATGTGGAGCGCCAACAAAGCAAAACCCCGATCCCTCACTCAACCTCGGTTACGAATTTAAAAAGTCAACGCCAAAGTGAAAGGCACCGACTGTTCACCAAGAAACACCTTCCACTGCAAAGAGACCAAGACGTGATGTTGCTGTAAAACCACAAGAACAAGAAAGTGCAGCTCAGTCTGTTTGTCTTCTGCTCCTCTCTCGCTTAACAAACAGGATCCCGCTTTGATGGCTCCACATACAAAAATGTTCTCTGCAAACTCAGGATGATTTAATCAGTCAAAGGTTTCATTTTTGGTTCTTCCTGTGGATCAATCCTGCCCATCACCTTCACCTTTCACTATTTTTTAATTCCGTTGGGAAGAGAAACAGTTTGAACTGAGGTTTGCAGTCACACACATCTGATTCACTTTTGCATTTATGGAGTTCGCAAACAAATTTCTCGAGCCGTTTTCCGCCGTTAGGATCCAACAACCACACAATTACAATGTCCGAATCCCAAAACTAAAATACGACAATATCAGAACCAGAAACAAAAGTGACATGGTTCAAAAGACTTGAAAATGTCGACTTTGACAATAGACGCATCAGTATGGATTTCACAATGACCGGAAGTCCGAGTATTATTTAAACACAAATCTGTATCAAAATCACCACTTTTGAAGCTTTGTTAGAGCTCAAACTCTGTGAAATACTTTTACTTAAGCAGATTTTTTTCATGTGATACTGTTAGGTTTAAGACCATCTAAACACTGTAAAAACAGGAAGAAAGACAAGAGATTAATCAGGTTTTACTCGCGAGGAGAACGGACAGAGAGTGCTTTTCAGTTACAGTCTCCACCCGCTCTGATGCACTCAGAGCCGTCTCCTCTTTTTATTTCCTCAGGGTGGTCCCTAGTTACAGTGGGTGTCTCCGCTCTCAGGGAGGGGGGTGAAAACAGCAGAGACACCAGACATACAAATATGACAAATATGTGTTATCAACAGCAGGCGCATATGTTTCGTTTAGCTTTCAGACACAGCTTTCTCCGTGCAGCCTTGAAAGTCGTCTGCTCCCATGCTCCAAGAGCCGAATCGCCTCGTTGCTCACACGTGACTGCATACATACTTTTACCTGAGTATTTCTTTGTGTGTATGTGTGCGTCTGTGTTTATACGTGTGTGTGTTTGTGCGCAGAAAAAGCCGAAGCCCACAGATTTGGACTTGAACGAGTGGGAGCTTCCCAAACACGAGTTCACGCTGGAGGAGGAGCTGGGCAGCGGCTACTTCTCTCAGGTCTACAGGGGGCGCTGGAAGAGCCGCATCAGCGTCGCCGTCAAGATCATCAAGAACGGTACGGTACTGACGCCGTACAGGGACGTCACGCTTGGGGGGTTCTGCGCGTATGCGTACGGAGGAATGTTCAGCAGTGACGCGAGACTCACGCGCAAAGTTTTAAGATCTGAAAACTCAAGAAAAAACACAGAATGGGTTTAAACTGCACATTTTCAGGAGCTTGTGATCAGTCTGAGCGTTCATGGTTCTGTTTAGGAGTCTGATTTTCAACTAAACGGTGATAGTGGACTTGTTTAAACACACAAATGTTGCAGCTCCACGTAAATCAGCTCTTTCTGGTCAGATTGTGTTAAAATAAAATATTAAAGTATCGGTACTCTTCTTTTCTCTCATGTGCGTCAAGATCATCAAGAGATTATCTGTCTCTAAACCTGCTGATTCCAACGAAGACTGTCCAAACTATCGAACAACAGATACTAAAATACTAAAACTAAAACTAGTATCGAAACTAGATATTTATTTGAGCCTAGTGCCTCCGCTCAATTTCATTTCTCTCCAGCAACTAGGTCAGGAATCAGAAAATACTAGACCAGGGGTGTCAAACATACGGCCCGGGGGCTGGATCCGGCCCTCCAAGACCTTTAATGTGGCTGATTTTCTGCTAAAATATTTAAATTATGTTTTCTATTAAAATATTGTTAATTTTCTGCGGTGTTTATCACAGCAGCGTCTCCAGCGTCTCTGTACGTGGCCCCTCCCACCAGAGCAGCACAAATGAAGACTTGTCTCTTTCCAAACGCTCTTAAAGGACGATCGTTTTGACTGTTGACCGTGACACCCTCATCAGAAAAATGTCCAACATGAGAAAAGTGGAGCCAAGTGCAGGATTTTCCAAGAAAAACTGACTCATTCCTATTTACATACAAGTTCATGTTAAAACTTTGTGTTGAAATTACAGTTTTCTTAAAGTTTCAGGTTGTTCATAATATTATAATATTTGGTAAAAGAAAGAGTTCATCAATTAAAAAAGATTTCTGTGACAGATTTGTGTTTCTCTGCAAAAAATATTTGAACTTATTTCTATTTTTGGGGTTTATATGCCTTTTTTTTTTTTTTTTTTCTGGCCCCTTTGGGATCAAAGTCAGTTGGATACAGCCCCCGAACAAAAATTAGTTTGACACTCCTGCACTAGACAGTTTTCAAGAACCCCGGGAGTACGAGTTCGGGCACCAGCCAATCAGCAAAAAGCCAGACATTCAGTGTTGTCAACGATTCCCGAGATCGAGGATTTAAAGCCGGAACAAAGAGAATGTTTGGTGAATTTTATCAAGAGGAAAGACGTTATTGTCCTTCTTCCTACGGGATTTGGGAAATGCTTAATATACCAGTGATTCCCGTTAGAGGCGCATTACATACGTCATGACCAAATAGCAGTGATTCGTTAAATAAAAAAGTACTCGCCTACTGTCGACTAATCCTAAGGCTGCGAGGTCAGACAGTTTCCACGAAGTGAAACCAGCTGATGAATTAGGCTACCACTTTTGAGTCCTGTGTCCCCGTCCCTGCAGATTTATTCAAAACAAGTGAATTGTCCCGGTTTTATACAAGAAATGCTCCAAGTGTCCCAATTTTTGACCAATTTGACCAGGACTAAACTAAGATTAAACCAGGACTAAAACAGGACTATCACAATTCTTGACTAATCTGATCCTCGCCAACAGTAAAGAGGAGCATAAATTATCATTTGTTTTGCCAAAATACAGAATAATGTTTGTAATAGACCATAATAAAAAAAATATTTAGCGACTGAAGTCCCTCAGATTATGACTGATACGAGAATCCACAATGTTACACGCTTTTTTCACAATTTTATTTATACAAACAATCTTAAACCGGGTGTGTCCAGGTTTAGAATTCTGAAATCCTGGTTACCCTTAACAAATATAGATGGATTATTTGTTTGGCAACACAGTGAGTGCAGAAATGATGTTGCAACATTAACTAGTGATGTTGTCAGCATTAAAATAGTTTATCATCAAGTGATAAAATAAGTTAATGAACATTAGTGAGTGGGATACGTCTTAATGACTCATCTGGGTTTGGTCAAGTGGTAACGGAGGGAAACAGGGGCAGATTTTTGACATTCAAATGTCTCTTATTCAGAAACTAGAGGAACTATTGAAATAAGTAAAGTATCAGAATGTAGGAAAGAGTTACACTCCAACAGGGTCAAGTTAAACCTGTGAGATTCTTTCAAGTTGTTGACAAAAAATTAAAAAACTCATGTCGGTAACGGAGGGAATGAAATATGCAGCACTTTTTGGGCAATAAATCCAAACAGTGATAACTCTTGGTTCTCACTTACATATCCTTAACAAACTGGTTTGAATATTTGCTTCATATAGTTTTCTACCATATGGTACAAGATTAGGTTGAAAAACCTCTTACTTTTTGACTCATGAGATTTTTTATTAAGAAAGGTCATGGAAACGGAGGGAAAAGTAACGGAGGGAACATTGTGCAAACAAGTAGAAGGTGCAGGATTTTACATCATTTGTCACTTTTTTCTTCCGAATACTTTAATATTACTTCAAAATGAAAGGAAACTATTTCTATAAAATATGTCAGTCCTTCCAAGCAACTTTTTATCATTTTAAATACATTTTTTCAGAAAAATCATGTACCTTCATCAACAGTTCAAAGATGGAATAACACAAGATATGATGAAATACATCCATTTATTTACATGATTTTCAGGTCTTTGAAATTTGGGAAATAATTTTTGTTCCATGTTTCATACATGGTCTGTTTAAAACATATGGAACTTTAGAACCAAAAATGGTACAGAGAAAAGATAAACAGTTTCATAAACTAGAGTACATATGTATCTGTTCAATACATTTTTATATCAGATGAATTAACTTGAATTTTTGGCCTTGTTGTTTACTTCTGCTTGACTGGGCCCTTCTGTGTTTTATCTCAGTTGTGTGCAGCACTTTAGTCGACGACACTAATCCCAACAGCTGAGGATTTAGCTTTAATAATCAATATCAACAGAGCTATCAAAACAGTAACGCCAAGAACAAACTGTGAAGTCTGATATTTCAGTTTGTTAAAGGTTCAGCTGGTCCTGTTTAAAAAAAAAAAAAAAGGAGCTACATTCACAACAGAAGTAACACCAGCGGTTTTGAGTCTGTGAGATTTCAACACTTTTGTTATTCATGATGAAATTGTGCTTGGGTTTGGAATTTCAAGAGAATCATCAGTTACACAACGATTTTGTACACAATAGGGAATCCCCGCGCCTACGCAGAAGTCTGCCGGGTCACCGTGGTTACGGTTTAAAACACTATGGAACCTGCAGATAAGTCAGTATTTGCACATGGATTTATCTTTACTCCACTTTCTGTACGCAACTTCTGACCTTTTCAAAAACTATTGTTTAAAATACTAAAATACAAAGTCATCAAATACACAAGGACACAGATGAGTTTGTAAATGAAGGACAGAGACGTCACATTAAAAGTTAAAGTTATTTTAATTTTGAAAAATTTAATAAAAATGTATTAAAAGGCTAAAGGAGCAAGTTAAATTCAAAATGACTGAACTAAACCAGGTCTAAACCAGAACTAAACCAAGACTAAACCAGGACTAACTCAGGTCTAAACTAGGACTAAACCAGGTCTAAAACCAGGACTAAACCATGATTAAACCAGGACTAAACTAGGACTAAAACCGGGACTAAACCAGGACTAAACCAAGTCTAAACCAGGTCTAAATCAGGTCTAAACCAAGTCTAAACCAAGTCTAAACCAGGTCTAAATCAGGTTTAAACCAAGTCTAAACCAAGTCTAAACCAGGACTAAACCAGGGCTAAAACCAGGTCTAAACCAGAACTAAACCAGAACTAAACCAGGACTAAACCAGGACTAACTCAGGTCTAAACCAGGACTAACCCAGGTCTAAACTAGGACTAAACCAGGTCTAAAACCAGGACTAAACCAGGTCTAAACCATGATTAAACCAGGACTAAACTAGGACTAAAACCGGGACTAAACCGGGACTAAACCAAGTCTAAACCAGGTCTAAATCAGGTCTCAACCAAGTCTAAACCAATTCTAAACCAGGTCTAAACCAAGTCTAAACCAAGTCTAAACCAGGACTAAACCAGGACTAAAACCGGGACTAAACCAGGTCTAAACCAGAACTAAACCAGGACTTAACCAGAAGTAAACTAGGACTAAAACCAGGATTAAACCAGGTCTAAACCATGTCTAAACCAGGACTAAATCAGGTCTAAACTAGGACTAAAACCAGGTCTAACCGAGCACAGAGCAGAGCCTCCATTTAGCATCACAGCCTCATGGATTGTTGAGATGTTTTCTTTATCTCCGTCTCTTACTCTCCAGACTCGGAGCTGAACCATAATGAGTTTATTCGGGAGGTGGAGATCCTGAAGAGGCTGCGTCACCGTCACCTGATCTCCCTGTTCGCCGTGTGCACCGAGTCTCCGCCGTTTTACATCGTGACGGAGCTGATGGAGAAAGGAAGTCTGCTCAAGTTCCTCAGAGGTCAGTCTTTTTTTGTTTTTTAATACAACACACTTTTCCACCTTCAGGGCTCTCATAGCATTTTTACATCAAGGAACCACTCACCCATTCACACACTCACCCATTCACACACTCACCCATTCACACACTCACCCATTCACACACTCACCCATTCATCTGTGGGAGGTGGAATCACGTCGCCAACATGTGGGTCAGTGGATCTGTCAGTAATGTTTATATCAAGAGCTGGATTTGAACCGCGATCACTTGTCCAGCTGAGCTTCTGTCGTCCCCATTAGGATGTCACTCTGTATTATGTGAATAAATATGCATGTTTTTAGCTAAATCAGTTAAATAATCACCTCCCACCTCAACCTGCCAACTAACCTCACATCGAACCTACCACCTCATACAAGTGCAAGTATATTCAAGTGTGTCTCATTCTCAGTTTATGTCAGTGCTTCTCAATTATTTTCTGTCATGCCCCCCCTAGGACGAATAAAACATCTCGCGCCCCCCCCCCGCGTGACTATAGATAGTATCATTTGTCTATAACATTGTTATAAGTACACCTGTGCGTAACACTGCCACCTTATATGACAACAACGCTCGCTGGTTTACTGAAGTAGCAGTCACAAGCAGGATGATTGTCGGCAATATTCGGCACGTTTTCGCTGAAAAAACTCAAGCGGCTTATCAGAGTGATTGGGGTGTAATGTATTTAAGTGACACCTTAATTTATTGGGCTTCATGCTATCGGCTGCCAACATTTTTAGACGCAGTAACACACCGGTCTTTCCTCGTCTCCCACCGTAGTCACAGTGAAGTCAAGCGCTACATACGCTTCGTCATATTTCCTCGTCTTAGCTTTCGGGAGATTTTTGTTTGTCTCTTTATCTCCGTCTCTCTCCGCCTGTCTTCTCATCCCTGTTAAATATTTTTTCATGGTGTCACTTGAGGGTCTGCTCCACTTCGTGTCTACACTTCATACTCAAACTCTGTGCTGTGTGCAAAGCGAGCATGCTCAGTGCAAACAAAACTCCTACACCACCGAGCGAATGCTCCCTGCGCACACTCTGCCAATGAGAGCGCTCTGCCCCCTAATGTAGTGGAAGTGCAATTGCACTTTATTCTAAAGGCCCGTTCAGACCAAAGCGTCAAAGCGTCCACTTTCTATGTAAAGCTATGTGGACGCGCGACTAGAGCGTCCTGCGTTTTTGCGGCGCGTTTTCGGCGTCAGCGCGGCGCGAATCTGGCGTCAGCGCAGCGCGTCTTCAGCGTTTTGGCGTCAGCGGCCAAGACGCGCGTCCAAGGCGTCAGCGTCAAGAAGTTGAAAATGCTGAACTTTTCGCGTCAGACGCGCCGCGTCAACCAATCAGGGACGAGTATCCAGAGACGCAGCGACTTATTATCAGGAAGAAAAACCCAGAACCAGAACCACAAACATGAACAGAGAATAAATATATACGACACAATCACCGAGCCGATCGCGAGGACTACACCAGGACCAGACCAGGACCAAACCAGGACTAGACCGAGACTAGACCGAGACTAGACCGAGACTAAACAAGGACTAGACCGGGACTAGACCGTGATTAGACCGGGACTAGACTGGGACTAGACCGGGACCAGACCGGGACCAGACCGGGACTAGACCGTGATTAGACCAGGACTAGACCGGGACTAGACCGTGATTAGACCAGGACCAGACCGGTATTAGACCAGGACTAGACCGGGACTGATCCAGTGTCATTAGTGGAGTATAAATATATATACGCCCCAGTCGTCGACCCGATCTCCTCCGCTGATGTTTTATGTCATAAAAACACTCTCTCAGTCTGGTCTGACATTGTTTCGGGAAAAGACCGGGACCGGGCTCTTGTTTCCAGGGCAACGGACGCGCGTCAAGTATTTTTGTCCCGTTCGTCCACGGCGTCAAAGACGCGCGTCGGGGGGCGTCTAAACTCAAATGCAAAGGCTCAAATAGAGGCGTCAAGGCGTTTTTGACGCTTTGGTGTGAACGGCCCTTTAGTCAGTAAAAAAAATCTAAAATAAAAAATAAAAAAAGCATGTTCTCCGAGGTCAAACGCGCCCCCCTTGACGGAGCCTCGCGCCCCCCCGGGGGGTCGCGCCCCACTATTTGAGAAGCACTGGTTTATGTACAGGCCTCATGTGAAAGTTCAGAACTTCCAGAATTCCCTCCCTGAGCTGCAGAGGCTTCAATAGCACTGATTCGTGCAGGTGCTGGGGTCTAGTTAGTGACCATTCAGGTCAAAGAGAGGCATTTTAGGTTTATACACACTGAATTTCAGTGTTGAAACTGGCAGCCCAAGTGAGAGAGTGACGTGAGGCTCACGCCTGGTGTTCACTGACTGCAGGTGCGGTGCGGATTGGGACACGCTCAGGTCCCACAAGGCTTAGAAAATCATTAAAATAAGTATCAACCTGCCACACTGACCTCGGTGTGGGTCTGGTTGCGGGTGCAGGTGTGGGTGTGCACAGGCCTGCGGAAAGAATCCAGTTTGTCTTTGCACCGCAGTTTTCTCTGATGTCGAGCTGACAAAATCTCATGAGCAAAACAGGAAAACAGACACGCAGAACGGCGAGGAGAAAATTCAGTTTGTCGACTGGAAGACTGGACAAAAGTTAGTTTGGCTGAAGACGTTTCGCAGCTCATCCAAGCTGCTTCTTCAGTTCAGAACTAAAGAAGCCGCTTGGATGAGCTGCGAAACTAAACTTTTGTCCAATCGACAAACTGAATTTTCTCCTCACCATGGATTCTACCTGCACGACTGAGGGATTCTTCACACAGACACGCAAAATGCATCTTAATCTATTGTGTGAACTCCTGGCCAGAATGTGAATCCTGGCTAATACGTTGTCTTGGGAGCTCAGTTTCCACACTCACTGGGACATACGTGTCATAGTAAAACCGAACCTGAAACGCACCTGCAGTCAGAGTACACCAGGGTCATTTTGCCTCCTCATAACGACAACACAAAGAACTCCGCTTTTATATATAACGTTTTTCAAATTAAGAATGCATCAGAATTACAGCTGTTCTCAGTAAAAGCCTCCTGTACCGTCCTGTTTAGGTCCAGAGGGGCAGCACCAGGACATGGTGTCTCTGGTGGACATGGGGACACAGGTGGCTGATGGGATGTCGTACCTGGAGGAGAACAACTGTATCCACAGAGACCTGGCCGCTCGGAACGTCCTGGTGGGAGACGGATACATCTGTAAAGTGGCAGACTTTGGACTCGGGAGACTTATCAAGGTACAAACACAGACTGACATGACCTAGAACATTCAGCTCCAGTCAAACGAAGGAGTTATAGGATCATGTAGAGCGGGTTAAGACCAAAATGACGAGGCTTTCAGCAGCAGTTGCAGAGAGAGGTAATGGAGTCTGAAGTGCCCCCATGTTCACTTCCTCTTTTGGAACGCGGCCGCTAGTGGGTTAGCTATGTCCATTTATAAATACAGTCTATGGGTACAACCAAGCCCTGGGGTTCAAACATTAGCAGCTATAGGCAGATCCAGTAGCTGTGTGTGTGGCAGGGTTCTAAACATGGCCGCCCATAGATGCATCATGAATTTCGGACTTCCGGTCATTACGCAATCAATACTGGGAAGGATTTTCTGAAAAAGTGAGCATCAGACCTCCATGTTTGTTTTCCCAGTGGGATGTGTCTATTGACAAAGTCGATCTTTTCAAGTCTTTTGAACCATATCACTTTTGTTTCTGGTTCTGATATTGTCATATTTTAGTTTTGGGATTCGGACATCGTAATTGTTGTGGTTGCTGGATCCTAAAAGGGGAAAATGGCTCGAGAAATTTGTTTGTGAACTCCATAAATGTAAAAAGGAATCAGATGTGTGTGACTGCAAACCTCTGTTCAAACTGTTTCTCTTCCCAACGGAATTGAAAAATAGGGAAAGGTGAATGCAATGGGCAGGATTGATCCACGGGAAGGACCAAAAATGAAAACTTTGGCTGCCTAAATCATCCCGAGTTTGCAGAGAACATTTTGTATGTGGAGCGACAACAAAGGGGGATCCTGTTTGTTAATCGAGAGGTGCAGAAGACAAACAGACTGAGCTGCACTTTCTTGTTCTTGTGGTTTTACAGCAACATCACGTCTCGGTCTCTTTGCAGTGGAAGGTGTTTCTTTGTGAACAGTTTGTGCCTTTCACTTTGGCGTTGACTTTTTAAATTCGTAACCGAGGTTGAGTGAGGGATCGGGATTTTGCTTTGATGTTGCTCCATATACAAAATGTTCTCTGCAAATTCGGGATGATTTAGACAGTCAAATGTTTCCTTTTTGGTTCTTCCTGTGGATCAATCCTGCCCATCGCACCTTCACCTTTCACTATTTTTTAATTCCGTTGGGAAGAGAAACAGTTTGAACAGAGGTTTGAGTCACACACATCTGATTCACTTTTGAATTTATGGAGTTCACAAACAAATTTCTCGAGCCGTTTTCCGCTGTCAGGATCCAACAACCACACAATTAACGATGTCCGAATCCCAAAACTAAAATATGACAATATCAGAACCAGAAACAAAAGTGATATGGTTCAAAAGACTTGAAAAGATCGACTTTGTCAACAGGGGAAAATAAACATGGTAGTTTGATGCTCACTTTTTCGGAAAATCCTTCCCAGTATGTATTTCGCAGTGACCAAAAGTCCGAGATTCTTGATGCGTCTGTTCAAGACAAAGGGCCGAGCTCAGTGGTGCATGTCTCCAGATTGGCCTTTAGCCCGGCGAGGTTCATCCTGTGGCTCCCCGTCTATTGAACAAGCGTGCTAGTGCTCTTTTATGTGATCGCTTTGACCAGTAAGAGCGAGAGGAGCTAGAGCGGCGCCTTTTAACGATTAAAAGCCGTTTTTAAGACAAAAGATTTTGAGCTGAGAAAAAGTTTGTGATCTAAAAATAGGTAAAAATCGCCACAAAATCAGACATTTTTGAAAGGTGTCCTGTCAGCTGAACACGAGCAGTTTGTGATGACTTTGTGCTCTGTGGGAAAAATCCTTTCTGGGCGGGAGGGATTTTTTTCTCTGGAGTTCCAGTGAGTGTCCAGTACGCCAACGCAAGACGGATACAAGCAGCAATCCAGTGCCCTGTCCAGATATTTTAACAGATCCATGCTGACACACTGAAACAGGAAGAGACATTTAGAGCAAAATGAGCTGAAGTTAAAGATTAAAAAGCTGTTGTTAAGACTGAACGACTGAAGGACTTTGACCTGAGAAAGTGTTTATGATCTGAAATAAATGTAATAATAATCATAATAATACACTGCTTTTATAGCGTTTTTACGATAACACAAAGACGCTTCACAAAGTAAGACAGTCATGAGGAGCTGTGGGCTGTGAGGAAAAGGTGTGTTTGGAGTAGGGATGGGCATGATTAGACGATTAATCGATAATTGATCATTAAGAATTTCATCGATTATGTTCATTTTTAAACAACAAACTGAATGTAGGTTGCTGTGCGTAGAGTAGGGTGACAAACTTCCGTGTCCAGGGACAAACAGGGGTCTGTACCTGTAGCTCTTTGCGCTCAGAAGGAGCGAGACACAAACAGTCGGTCAGTCTGCAACGTGCCGAAGCGCAAATCTGTATTTAATGATGACTTGTACAAGAAATTCCACGCTTTCCGTTCTGGTCGGGACAAGTGGGAGGCCATGTGCACAAAGCAGGAACATATGTTTAGGTGTCGAGTGGGAAAAAGTTCACCAGGACATCGAAAACATGAAAACGTTTTGCCAGGTGAGAGTCGCTCAATGTCGATGACGAGGCCCCGCCCCCCTCCCCCCGTACGGTGTCCTGGTTTTGACAAATGCAAATATGATCAACACTAACCTGTATTCACCTGAGTCGTGTCTTTTAATCAGACAGAAGTTGAACCGCATCAGCGACACAAGAACAGTTTTTTTCTTCGCTTAGTTTATGCAAATTAGCCATGAGGTTTTGAGTTTTGTTTCTGTGAGAGTTGCACAAAGCTGAATTAAACACATTATAATGTCAAACGGGCTGATGTGGCTCTAGAGTCGTTACGGTTTATATGGCGTAAAGTTGAATTTATTTATGCAGATTAGTAGTGCAGATAGTAATAATAATGATGATCATTTTAATATAAAAACGTTAATGATTAATCGATAATCGATCGTTAATTCTCCCAACAATCGATTAAGAAAATTTAATCGAATGCCCATCCCTAATTTGAAGCAGTTTTTTGAAGGTGTTTAGTGAGTTTCTGATGTGAAGGGGAGAGAGTTCCAGAGGGTGGGGGCGGCCAGGGCAAAGGTTAGGTCCCCCAAGGTCCCGTGCTTTGGAAATGTGGAAAAGGAGATGGAAATGTGACACATACTGCAATACTACAATACTGCAATACTACAATACTGCAATACTACACTATCATCAATTAAATGAAGTTTGAGGTGGTTTTTTCATCGTTTCGTCGTTGTTGTTTTTTCCAGGACTTTCATTCAACATTAGCACTCATCAAGTTCTAATTTTTGATACCGGTCACTCATGTGTCCATGCTTGTTTACTGCTTGATTTTTGAAACTTTTCACGCCCCAGACACAGTTTTAATGAGTCCTTCTTTTTTAACTTTTTAAACCTCACAAGTTCAAACGACATTTCAGTGAGTCTCCACGCATGTCATTGAACTGTTAACTAAGAACCAGCTCGTGTTGGATCTGCTAAAACTAACTGCTGCCTCTTCCCTTCAGTCGGAGTGTTGAGCAGACGGGGTTTTGGACGGTGTTCTAGTCGAGATCGCACTAATCGAGACCAAGACCAGTCCAAGACCACAGGGTCCCGAGACCAGGGCAAGACCAAGACCTCTGAGAGTCGAGACCAAGACAAAACCAAGACTTTTAAAGGTCATGACCGAGACGAGACCAAGAACATGGCTGCTCGAGACCAAATCAAGACCATCTTTATAATTTTCTACATTTATTTGTATTTTACAGTTATTTTGACACATATATATCAATGTTTTATAAATCTATCGCCATTTTATCACTTGCCAAGTGTTAGAGCTTGAAACCGAGACATGACCAAGTCCAAGCATCTTTAAGACCGAGACAAGACCAAGACAAGACCGAGTCCAAGCACCTTCAAGACTGAGATACAACTGAGTCCAAATGCGGTCATGTCCGTGACAAGACCAAGACCACAAAAAACAGTCTCGAGGCCGGTCTCAAGACCTCAATCTCGATAACTACGACTGTATGGACTTCACATGTTTCTCACTGAAGGAGCCGCAGACTCAAATGCAAATCCACTCACATGAAAATCTAAACAACCACTCTGTCCCACATGAGTTTACTGAGATTGAGGACAGCTTTAGTTTTGTAGCCAGATATTTGCATAGATCCATGGGTACAAAAGGCCCATAGGCGTTTTATGTCTGTTAGTTGAATTACCATATCACAAACTAAAACTATGACCTGTTTTTCTTTCTTTTCAGGAGCCCTTTTACCTTTCTGAGGATAAAAAGATTCCGTACAAGTGGAGCGCTCCTGAAGCCATCACCCACGGAAAGTTCTCCAGCAAATCGGACGTGTGGTCTTATGGAATTTTACTTTATGAAATCATCACATTTGGAGCAATCCCGTACCCAGGTCTGTGCGCTTGTCTTAAACATCTAAACAAAAGCTTAACTCTTAAAACTGCACTGTGTAAGAGTTTGTACATGCTCATGCTCAGTACAGCACAGGGTTTGAGAAATCAGGATACAGTGGTCCCTCATTTATCGCGGGTGTTACATTCTAAAAATAACCCGCGATAGGTGAAATCCAAGAAGTATCAACTTTATATTTTACATTTATTATATCTGTGTTAAGTCTGTAAAACCCCTCACCACACACTTTATACACTTTTCTCACACAGGACAGTTACAATACTTTTTACATCCTTCTTAAAACTTATCGCTGCTGTCGTCCTTTTGTTATTTTCCTCCTTCTTTATGTAACGAACCGAAGATTAATTTATTTTGTAATGGAGCAGTGCAGCGCAGAGTCCTGCACGGGTCCATTTTTGGAGACCCGCACCCGCACAGTACAGGACCACAACCGCCCATTAACCCAAGATTATATCAAACTTTTGCGCTGCCAACACCACGGACTGAACCAAGACTAAACCAGAACTAACCCAGGACTGATTCCAGAACTGAAGAGGAGGACTAATCCAGGACTGAACTACAACTAAAACAGGTCTAAACCAGGACTAAACCAGGACTAAATCAGGACTCACTGTTGGGATGGACTCGGAGGTGACCACGCGAATGTGAGCGCGGCCATCGCCCGATCGCGCTTTGCAGACACCCTGCTCCACGGGCTCTGGGTTCTGTCTCTTAAGTCCAATATTAGTCCTGGTTTAGACTTGGTTTAGACCTGATTTAGTCCTGGTGTAGTAAGTAAGTAAGTAAATCTTTATTTATAGAGCACCTTTCATCACAAAGTGCTTTTCAGAGCAAAAACAACATAAAAACAACATAAACAAGAACAGAGGAATTACAGACACAGTCAACTAAAAGCCTGTCTAAATATAGTGTCTTGAGCTGCTTTTTAAAAGAGTCTATAGAGTCTGTCTCACGTAGGACTAGGAGCAGGGCATTCCATAGTTTGGGAGCCACAGCCTGAAGGCAAACGTCACCCCGAGTTTTAAATCGAGTCTTTGGGATCATCAAGAGACCCTGACCAGAGGACCGGAGGGTGCGGCCTGAGGAGTAGGGGCGCAGTAGTCCTGACCCGCTCGTGTGTAATTACTACCTGCCCGCATACCCGCCCGTAAAATTCCAGAATGTTAAAACCCGCCCGTTTCAGCAACTATTTGTGGGTATCCGACCCTGTGCTAGACTCTGTTACACTCTGTCTCGTAACTTACATACAGCACCTCAGAATCACACTGATACAGATCCAACATTTATGTAAATTTGTCTAACTGAACGCATTCTGTACTGTACACGAGACACAGAGGAGACAACGGTCTAATGTCCCTCAGCCAATCAGGACTTAGGAGGAGGAACACAATGTGCGTTCATACACTATAAAAAAAAAAAAAAGGCATACAAAATTGCACTGAAAAAAATCCACAAAACAGCGAAACTGCGAAAGGTGAACTGCGATATAGCGAGGGGTGTGTCTACCGTCGAGCGAATCGAATCCTAATGCTGCGAGGTCAGACGGTTTTCACTAAGTGAAACCGGCTGATGAATCAGACTAGGTTTGCTCTCTTCGGGGCACAGAATGTTCCAGTGTCAGTGACAATGTCAATATTTTCACGGATATTTCCACAAATGTTAGAAGAAGAAAGCAGAGTATTTGACAGTTTAGAGCAGCGGCCCCCAAACCCTGGTCCTCAATTTCATTTTGAGACGCTGCTCTAAACTGTCAAATACTCTGCTTTCTTCTTCTAACATTTTACGTGTTATACTTTTACTATTGTGAGGTTTCAGTAGGGTTCAACGTAACATTTTTGTTTTCTTTTTTAGGTTTGCAGACGCAGGAGGTTTTCGATCAGGTGACCAGTGGATACAGAATGCCCCGTCCCAACAAGTGTCCGGAATTTCTGTACGCAATCATGCTAGAATGTTGGAACGCCGAGCCCGAGAGCAGACCCACATTCAGGTCCCTAAAGCAGCGCCTGGACAGCAAAATCACCGGCTACGAGTGGGACAAATGAACTATTCCTACCAATGGACACACTGTGAAATTCAAAGGGAAGGACTTGAAAATCACTGTAGTTAACCAACTAACTGTTGTAAATAGAAAATACTGTGAATGTTGGGCCTAACTTGTATTTTCACCAGGTTTTAAAGGCTCACTGTGTAACTTTTGTGTGGAAGGGTGCGCCAACTGCATGTCTGTTGAGATTTAAGTCGTGTTATAATGCTGCTACCGCCTCAAAAACAAACCTGGACTTTGTTTCATTCACACATGTTTGAGTAACACTTTATTATTACCGTATTTTTGACACTATAAGTTGCACTTTTTGGGGGAAATTTAGCAACTCGGCCTCGACCTCCGGAGGTAAACAGAGCGCCGCTTCCTCTTCTGTGTCGCTGTCGTCAGACTCAGAATCAGTTCCAGTTACAATTATTCGGGTCTTTCTGAATCCCGACAGGATGGTTTCGGTGTCACTGAAGTCCAGACTTTGTTCATCCATCCAGGGACTCCAGGAAAGTTTCATGGTGCATCCTCCCAGTTCCCGTGAAGCTGTGTTCTTTTGCCAGTCCCTCACAAGTTTCTTCCTCACTCTAAACTTTCTGCTGCTCGATTACCGTTTTCGGCTGCAGATTTCACGACTTGCATTAGGACAGAGGCTCTTTCTGCAGGAGACACGCACAGTAGAACCAAGAAGACTCGATGCTTCACTGTGAAAATTTTAATATATAGGTGAGTGTAAGTCGCAGGAAACACCCAAACCATGACAAAAGTGCGACTTATAGTCCAAAAAATACAGTACATTTCTTTGTAGAATGTTTTAAAGTGGTTTTCATTTTCTATTTCCATGGAATCATGCAGGACTCCAGAAAGCAATATTGTTATTGTTGTTTTTCTCTGTTCAGCACTAGGAAATTAAATGTACAAATAAGAAAATAAAACTTGGACACTTGCCATGTTCACCCACACTGCAAAAAAGCTTGGCCAAATTTTAAGATTTAAACTTAAATCTATCAGAAAACGACTTAAAAGTATTGTATTTTTCGGACTATAAGTTGCACCAAACTATAAGTCGAACTTTCTGGGGAAAATTTCTTTTATAAAATCAGAGACCAGGAACCGACATTTCCTGTTGAAAGTCAAGTTCTTGTAAAAACAATAGAAGCGAGAACAACAGACTGTTAACGTCACATATTTCATAGTTCTTCAGATAAATTATAACATAAATAACAGAACAGAACAAGTTTACCAAACTCTCCATCTCACTCCAAATCACTAAATCCATTCAATTGTTCATCCTCGGTGTCACTTCTGAACAACTCGGCCTCGACCTCCGGAGGTAAACAGAGCGTCGCTTCCTCTTCTGTGTTGCTGTCGTCAGACTCAGCATCAGTTCCAGTTAGAATTATTCAGGTCTTTCTGAATCCCGACAGGATGGTTTCGGTGTCACTGAAGTCCAGGCTTTGTCCATCCATCCAGTGACTCCAGGAAAGTTTCATGGTGCATCCTCCCGGTGTCACAAGTTTCTCTCTCACTCCAAAGTTTCTTTCTGCTGCTCGATTTCCATTTTCAGCTGAATATTTCACAACTTGCAGCAGGACAGAGGCTCTTTCTGCAGGAGACATGCGCAGTAGAGCCAAGTGACAGCGGTGCAGGAGGAACAGGAGCAGCAGATACTCACACACAAGACTAGAGCCTCTCCACGCTTCAGTGTCAACATTTTACTATATAAGGCGTGGCGAATACCGTATTTTCCGGGCTATTAGACGCACTCTTACGCCTCCAACCCCATCAAAAAATGACTGCGCGCCACAATCCAGAGCGCCCTATACACGAATCCACTCGGGTGTCCCAGTACGACTTCAGTAAACTACAAAGCCGCAAACACACACGGAGCAGACAGTGACCGCACAGCGAAACACACCCACAGACACACTCATCACTCCACGCCGACGAGGAACGGAACGGAGGAACGAACCGAAAAAGCGAGCGCGACGTGCCGCTTCTAGACACGACTGAACAACAACTGAGTCACTGCGAACACGCCGACAATCCGTTGGTCCCAGACACACCCTCCCTACACGCCACAACTGAACAAAGCCCAGAGTCACCGTGAACGAACAAACAAACAAAACCACTCACCCATCACACTGTTGTGTTTCCTTTAAAGTCCCACGCGGTTTATTTGTAAAAAAAAGTTTGAAAATAGACCATTTAATGACAGTGTGTTTTATAATCCAGAGCTCCTAGTAAGTGCAGAAAATACGGTACATTTCTTTGTAGAACGTTTTAAAGTGGTTTTCATTTTCTATTTCCATGGAATCATGCAGAACTACAGAAAGCATTGTTGTTATTGTTGTTGTTGTTTTTATTGTTTTTCTCCGTTCAGCACTAGAAAATTAAATGTAAAATAAGAAAATAAAACTTAAACACTTGCCATGTTCACCCACACTGCAAAAAAGCTTGGTCAAAATTTAAGATTTAAACTTAAATCTATCAGAAAACGACTTAAACGTGGTGATACTGTCTGTCCATGCAGCAAAATGTATTTACTCGACATGTTATCTTAAAATAAACAATCTCTAGACTAGAATTAATCAGTCTCAGAACTAGTAAGTAGATCATAAACGTGAAAACAGGATTAATAACCTGATAGAAGTTTTAAAATTTTGGTCAGATCAGAGAAATTTGCAGTGCAGGTCTGTCAGTAAATATGTGTTCACGAAGAAGTAAAGTGTATTGGAAAGATACAAATATGTCTCAGGTTTAGAACACAGATCCGTCTATTGTTAAACGTGTAATTTTCTGTTCAACAAACTTAAATAAAAATACCAAAGCCTGTTTCCTCTATTCTATTCTATTCTCTATTCTATATCCTGTCGCAACTTTTGGTGGTTTTTGGTTTCTGGCAAAAAAAAAAAAAAGGGAAGCTGCACAATTTTCTTTTCTTTCAGTGTTTTTTGCTCAAATTGAAGCACGTCGATCCACCTTGTGTCAATACAGAAAGTGCTCCACTGTGTTTTTAAACTCCACACACCTTCACGAGAATCATTTGGATCATTTCAGCCCTGGAAGAGAGAAGAAACGTAATTGATCCCAGGGGAAAATAAAGTTTTGTTGCTACGTTTCCACTGTTCCTCTCAGTTCCTTTGTGTCCGAGTCAAAGGTCTGGGGTCAGTTTCTCAGGAGGACTGGTCAGGTTTGGTCAGCAGATCTTGTGTCAGGGCAGTTTGAGGAGAGGAAGAGCCAAAAGAGTCTCTCCTCTGTGTCCTGCAGTGGCACAGCAGCCTCCAGGGGGCGCCAAGTGAACACAACATGAAAGACTCCACTCTGTTGTTTCGAATGGTGACAAATTGCCAATCTCTACTGAATTAAAGGTAAAAGGAGCTGTTAACTTAACTGAAAACGACCACTTGATGACATCACATGGTGGAACAGATCATTTAGATCAGGGGTCGTGGGTCAAACTAAATATTTATTGAAAAATTTAAACACCATCTGCATGTTTTCTCTTCTTTCCAGATATGTAATGTTAAACCTTTTCTTATTAAAATAAATGTTTAATAATAGTTTTGCTTAAACACTGAATCCAGAACAAACAGAATATTAAATAATAACAATATTTTAAATAAATAATGTCTCTATAGCTCATCTGTAGGTTTTGAACTCCTTTTTAATGTTTTTTTTACCTGGTCCCCGAAGGTTTGACCAGGTTTTGTGTTCACTCTGTGTGTCTGTGTCTGTGTCTGTCCACCCGCGATAATTCTGCCATTTATGGACCAATTGTCACCAAATTTGGTACGTGGGTCAAGCCCCCGTCCCCGATGCTGCAAAAAAAAAAAAAAAAAACATTTGGTGACGATCCGAGGTCATTTGAGGTCACACTGGTCAATTGAAAAGACACACCATTATAAAGGATTATAATTTCTGAACCATCTGTGGGCTTTTTTTTTAGATTTTCAGTCAAAAATAACTTGCTTGAATGAAAATCCAATCTTTCAACTATGAACAGTCAAAAATTATAAAGAAAACGTTCATCTAAGCTCAGTTTGTAAACTGTGATTTACTCTGCTGCACATGGGTCTAAAGCAACATATAAAATGTTCACTGTAAACTCGGGATGATTTAGTCAGACAAATGTTTCCTTTCTGGTTCTTCCTGTGGATCAATCCTGCCCATCACCTTCACCTTTCAATATTTTTCAATTCCGTTGGGAAGAGAAACAGTTTGAACAGAGGTTTGAGTCACACACATCTGATTCACTTTTGCATTTATGGAGTTTGCAAACAAATTTCTCGAGCCGTTTTCCGCTGTTAGGATCCAACAACCACACAACGATGTTCGAATCCCAAAACTAAAAATCCCAAAAGTGATAAGGTTCAAAAGACTTGAAAAGATCGACTTTGTCAATAGACTCATCCCACTGGGAAAACAAACATGTCGGTTCGATGTTCACTTTTTCGGAAAATCTTTCCCAGTATGAATTGTGCACAATGACCGGACGTCCGAGATTGTTGATGCGTGTATGTAAGTAAAATTTTCAAAGTTAAAAAGTTGATGTTTCTTTAAAATTTCACAGTGGTTCTGATGCTGAAAAACATATTTTCAGTCACGTTTTGCCTGAATCATTCAACCCAAATCAAGAATCTGTCAATTCAAAAAGAGCTTCCCCCAAAACATTCTAGTGCTGCTAAAATAAAAATATAACCACTGATCCACTGTGCCCAGTGTTGGGAGTAACAGATTACATGTACCTGTGTTATGTAATCAGAGTACACATTATGAGTAACTGTATTCAGTTACAGTTACTGTTTCAGTGAGTGGTAATTGGATTACAGTTACTTTGTTTAAATAAATGGATTACAGGGCCGTATTTTCCTGTTTTCACACTTTGGGTTAAACCAGGACTAAACTAGGACTAAAACCAGGTCTAAACTAGGTCTAAAACCAGGACTAAACTAGGACTAAAACCAGGTCTAAACTAGGTCTAAACCAGGACTAAACTAGGACTAAAACCAGGTCTAAACTAGGACTAAACTAGGTCTAAAACCAGGTCTAAACTAGGACTAAAACCAGGTCTAAACTAGGACTAAACCAGGACTAAACTAGGTCTAAACCAGGTCTAAACTAGGACTAAACCAGGTCTAAACTAGGACTAAAACCAGGTCTAAACCAGGACTAAACTAGGTCTAAAACCAGGACTAAACTAGGACTAAACCAGGACTAAACTAGGACTAAAACCAGGTCTAA